ACAAAGTCTCATGGTTAACAAATCTTGAGCCACTTCCACCAGCTTCCCAGACCTCTGTGAGTTCCCAGGTCTGAGAAAGTAGAAAATCTGTCTGGATGCCAGGACGAGAGATGAGTTTTTCAAGGCTGGGTGTGGGAATGCCTGTGCACTGCGGAGGTGGTCCTGCAAGGCCCGGATTGAAGACCTACTGCTGCACGTGTTGCCTGCAGGCTCCTGCACCCCACTGTCTCTCATATGACAAGAGGTGTTAACATTTTGGAAAAAAAAAAACAAACTGTCTCTATGTATGAAATGTCATTTCCCCTGAGTCACTGACTTGAATTTATTTCCAGTGCTATTTGCTGTTTTGAGTGGACTGCTGTGCTCAGGTGTTCCAATGTTCTCAAGAATGATACAAGTTCCTTTCCCATAGACCCTGAGGAGACAGGTGTTCCCACTACAGACTGTGTGGCGGGGTTGGGGGGGGAGCCCTAGCACTTTGGAGGGACAGAGGCTTTTGGAAGTGGATGCTGCCTAGGATCTTGATCATAGTCTGCTGCCTCTCGTGTGCCTTGCTCGGTGTAGCCATTCAACCCTGAAGGGGAGGAGGTGGGGTGAGTAGGGTTGCTTGTGGCCAGAGCCTACCAGGGACTAATCTGAACAAATGATCTCAGGCTTCAGCACAGAACAAATCGACAATAGATGGACTCGCACATCGCTTATATCATGGGTTGGTTGTGCAGCACCATTTTTCAAGTAGCCAGGGAAGGGCAACTGAGACAGATACAACATGAGAGTATCACAGGATAATTCCCCATGACCTTATTAAATAGGCATCAAGACATTAGTAAATATCTGTGGTCTGGAAACAGAGTGTAAGCACCCTGCTGACAAATAAGCAAACAGATGTGAGGCTGTGCAAGGTCTCCATGTTTGGGACTAAATTCCTTAAATAGCAAAAGGATTAAGACGGCTTTCAGGAAAAGCTTCCAGAATCCACCATGACAGTTTAGAAGCAGCTTTTCAAGGACAGACACGTGCAGAAACAGCCAGCTCAGCAGGGCAATGGTTTTGGGTGTCACAAGCTCAAAATCACTGTGTAGATTATAACTCCCTCAGAAAAGAAACAGACCAGTGAGGAGCCAAAATGACCCTCTACTCCGACACAAAAGATCTCCCCAAACGCCCTTCTCACTGTCCAATCAAGAAGCAGCTGATGCCCTCTCCTTTTACACACACTCTCAGTGGCAAAGCCATCATGGAGAGAGACAGGTTTGTGCTTTTTTTTTTTAAATCTCCTGTCTCTCTAATGGCCAGCCCTCATGGAAAAGATTTATCTTTTTACAAAAACCCAGTGCCAGCATTTGGCTTCCATGAGCTCTGGTAGCAAGCCCTTGCTTGTATTAGACTGCATGATCTATTAAATGGTTTCTCAGAATGCAGCTACAGTTATACATGGAGGTGCAAGCTTTAGGGCTCGAGGGATCGCTGTGTGAAGGACATGGTTCCCGAGGGCTTGTATCCATCATGAGATAATATCTGAAAGGGCTCAGGAGCTCTATTTTAGAGATCTGTGTTGTTATAATCTCTAAGTCTCCAAGTCTGTGGACCTTGAGACAAGCTGGGATATCAAAGTTCACCCTGGTAGATCCTCGTACAGATCCTTCAGGGACCAACTCCAAAGGTGAGTGTTTACTGGTTTTGGGCCTAAGAATTCATGTCAGTGCCTCCCTCTCCTTTTGCTGATCCATCAAATGTGAAGACTCCCAGCACCTTGCAGCTCAGGAAGTGGCAAGGAATAGCAAACCACTGCAATGAATGTGCCTGAAAGGAAATTTGCAAATGTGCTGTCAAAAAGCTCCAAACAAGGACAGATTTCTCTGGGAGTGAGGCTCCCTGAAGTTACAGAGCAATTTGTGCAGACTGTCAGTGCAGAGCTGACTAGGGGTCTGGAGCCCTTGATGATCTCACTGCCTTCCCTGCATGCTTTTCTGAATGGTGTCACCATTTAGGATTGATAAATGGCCCTGGGATTGGCCAGGCAGCCTGTGCTTCATAATGGCTGAGGTGGGGAACCCATTCCGCGCCTGCGCCTGTCATCTGCAAAGGCAATGTCAGCTGCAAAGTAAGAACCATTCAGGGCACATCTAGAGTGCCTGTGGGAGCTCCTGGGATGGGTAATGAATCCAAACTCACTTTCCGGCTTGCTCACATGACAGATTGCCTGGTACGATGATGAAGAGAAATGGAGACAGGCTATATCCCCTCTGTGCACATTCCAGTTAATTTCCCAGAAGCAAGCCCAAGTAATGCAGGTTCCACGCACAGAGTTGTCCAGGGTGACAAATGAAGAGGTGGTGGGGGTTTTGTGTTTTGGAGGGCTGGAGGAGGGTAAAGAACGTGGACTTTGATTTTCTGTTCTTTTCCTGAAAGATCAGGAACTTCATGGTCAAGAAACATGCCCTCCCCAAGGAAGCCAAGGCAAAGGCTAGGCTGAACGGTGCCTAGAGTGCTAACAAAACGCTGTGGAAGGTGGCTCTGGAGCGCTGATGGAACTGAGAAAAGAAATGTGGACCCTCCCACTGGACTGGCCACACCTGTCGTAAGGAAGTTCATATCTGACAGAACTTGATGACAATAAGGAGCCATGTGGCCCCATCTGCCAAGGTCTCCCAGACCAAGAAAAGCAATGTGGCTTGATCTTACTACCAACTGCCTGGGAGATTTGAGTAAACCTTTGTCTTACCTTCCTTTGGCCTGAAAGAGAAGTTTCCAGTTGATGAATCACTTTGCAAATGAGATTCATAGACACCCAAACTGATTATGCCGTGGCTAAGAATCTGAGAAAGTGTGACAGTAAAAGTCTCACAAAGCTTATGCATAATGACAGGCACTAAGGACCATGGGATGACAGGACAAATGCTCTGGCCACTGGATGGCTGACCAGGCCATTACACTTCCTGGTACAGAGCAGTAGGCAGTCCAGCACAAGCTCATGGTGACTTAGAACCAGGATAACTGTGCCCACTGTTAATGGCTATTAAGGGCAAGGGTCTTGCTACTGGGGACAACTCCAGGATGCTGTCTCATATAGACACAACATTTATGTTAAGTCTGTGCTTACATAAGACATGGGAACCCTTGCCCATCACATGGACCAGAACATTAGGAAGGGACCCCTGAAGTGAACAGAGGCTGTCTGCAGGGACTAGTGATATTCATAGTCTGCCAGTCTTCCAAGAGTGCAGGTGGCTGGCCACTAGACTAGCTGACATTTAAAATGTGTTTAACTTAATAAGAGATTTTGAGCTAGTAATAAAAACAATTCTTAGCATTTCTCTATTTGTTTATAATAAAACTAAACTATAACCAGAGGGAAATTACTTTATCTAAACTAAAAAATTTCTTTTGCTTATATCCATCTGCCCCTCCCACCATCAATTCAACAAATTCAAATAGACAAGTATTTATTAAAATCATGAAGTTATGTCACCCTTCGAAAAAAAAAAAACATGAGTGATCTCATACCCAATCAATGACATCATAATTAGGTGGCCTTTTGAATTTCATCTGCATCACAGCCTACGATGTTTTATACTCAAAAAGACTTCTCATTTCACCGAAACCAACTAGGGCTGATAGCTCTTTATTTTCTTTGAAGAGCTTCAACCTTTATAGTTCTGCTCCACACTGACTTTTTGTCTTTGCTCTACCCCATAACATGTTGGATTATTTCACAGTAGAGATGACAGAAAACGAAACTTCATAAACTTTCAACTTGAAAATGTTTTCTCATAGAAAATGGAGCTTATAAGAGCTGGGAAAGCCACCCTGGGGCTTATCTAGCTGGGATTTCCCATCTCAGGAAGAACCACAAACAGGATTATAACCACCACAAATGTTCCTGAAGGCAGTCCAGTGATGATCCTCCTGGTGAGAAACAGTGTCTGGGAGTCTGGCATCAGCTTGGGACAGTGGGAAGGAGACTTGTCCTAAATCCTAGGTACTGAACAATGAAATGTCCAAATTAATCTTCTTCCTCCCACACAACATTAATTTCCATTTAAAGGGTTTTTGGGTTAAAACAAATGATTCCCTGTAGATTTACTCATGGAGGCTCTGTGAGGTAAGGGCTAGTTCCACTTAAATTTGATTTAATGAGGCCCAACCAGATTATCTCCATTGGTGACTGGCCACAGCCTTCTATATTCTAGAGGAAGGCTTTCACACTGTCAGGTCATTCTGTGTCTCATTTCCCTGTGATGTAGGTAAGCTATAGAGCCATGCCTTCATTTCCTATAGCTCTAAGAGTGAAGATTCCTAGAGCTAGCAAAGAGACACAGCTGAGCTAGACAATGGTGGTGAAGGATGAACGAGGCTATGTCACTCATGAGCACAGATGGCATCGTGTGTCCTTGGCTGTATCAGACATGGGAGAAGCTCCAATTTCATCTTCTTGGAGCAAAGTAAAAAGGATCCTATATACAGAATAAACACTTGCATGGATGATGCATGGTGATCCCCAGGCTTTCTAAGTTCTCCTAAGTAAGAGTGTCAGCTGCATACAGGATGCCTGTACTATCCATGCAACATACGAGGTGACATACCTGCAGTAAAATCACGTGTTGTTTACCTGAAATTCAAATCTAAAGAGTAAACTGTACTGTCTGCTTTGATCCCGCAGCAGTATTCCTCTTTGGCCATTGCTTGCAATATCATGAACCATACACAATGCCGACAGCACACCAACAGTAATTGTGACTGGATGCTTCCACAGAAATAGCTTTCCATTTCATCTGAGGAGCCTAAAATTAGGACTGCAATGGATTTAAGTATTTGCAACACTTTTCAACTTGGAAGATGATACATTTCGCCATTGTTAGCTAAGGTTGATCTTTGGCACTGAATTAATAACAAGGTCCAGAATGCCCATCAGTCCTGACAGCCCTAGACACAGAATCCCACCCCCAGCTCTGGCATGATGCTCACCCATCTTGCTGTTCAGGAGAAGAGTCACTTACTTGTATGGGATGTGCTTGCTTCCATTGACAAGAGCCAGGATGACATTACCCAGAGCAGACAGTGAGAGGCACAGCCCTGAGCCTCCTTCTCGATTTTTGCTGAGAGCTTTCACACAGCTTCCAAGATCAATGAGATGTAGGCGGCTGCGCCCTCCAGACACTACCACAGAAGAGAAGAAGAGAGATAATGGGTGAGTTCTGGCAAATGTATCTTCTGTTCTTGTCTAGCTCTTTGGGAAATCTGAGGGGAAAGGAAAAGTTGACATTGGTAATCCAAACAGGTCATGCTGGGGTTGTTTCAAATAGCACAGGTGATCTTGATTTTGTCTACCACACACCATTGACCTTCTAAAATCTACTGATATCTTATTTTACAAATAACTGAATCATTCCTGTAGGTTGAATTGGATGAGATTCCCCAAGAGGCAAATGGCTTACTGAAGGAGGGTCAGTTCTTACCTAAATGTCCTCTGGACAAGCTGAACCTGGAACAGAGTTCACCTCCTCTGGTTGGTCATTGTCAGCCTGCCAGCCTAAAGCTCAGCCAAGAACCAGGTTTAACCCAAGGAAAAATCTGGAAGGTGTATAATCCAGGTGCAAAGGCAGGGGAGACTTGACTATTTGCTGAATGTCTGCCAATGGCCAGGTGCACAAACATCTCATTCAGTTCCCACAGCAAAATTATAATCTAAATACTATTATCCTCTTTTGCTAGATGAGAAAATTAAAGTTCAGAAAAGTTAAGAAATTTGCCTGTAAGAACTTCTGACTTCACTGAAGCAACAGGAACCAGATTGAGTCTTACACCTGAACCAACCAAGAATTAAACAACATATATACAATAATTGTTTTTAAGACACTAGACATTAGACAGAGGAAGATAGTGATGCTTGAGGTACACAGACAAGCAAGCAAACACGACTGATGTCTTAGCTCATTGTGTTGAGAGAGTTCCCAGGCTCAGGAAAAAAGCCAGGTAGGAGCTGGTCAACCCCCCTAGTTGAAGAGAGAGAGGATTCCAACGGAGCAAGGCAGCTGTTGTTGGCAGGACACAGGATGCTGGAAAGGAAAGAACCTGGAGATTTGCAGATGGTCTCTGGAATATTCAGCTGAGGCTGATCAGCAAGTGCATATGAGGAAACTCCCCAAGGCAAGGGGATTGGCCACCTGGCAAGAACAGGTAACAGCGCACTGATATAAGGCCAGAAGTGTCCATTCCCAATAGCCAGAGGTAAAACTTAAGGTTCAAGTGTATTTGTTAGGATACCCAGGAGGACCTCGCTCCAGTAGTGGAGACACGTAGCACTAGACTGAGCTCTCACCTGGCTCTACCTGATAAATACTAAAGGTAAGAACAGAAAGGATCAATCTATCTCTAGTGACTCAATCATAGCACCAAACAAAGCTTAAGAATAGTGCCAAAGTACAAAAATATCCAGTACCTAACAAGTTAAATAAAACGTCTGGCACCCAGTAAAAAATAAAGCGGTAGGCAAAGCAGCAGCAGATAACACCCACAATGAAGAGGCACTGGAAATAAACCCAGAGCGAGCAGAGCAGTTAGAACTGACAGAGACAGCTGTTAAAAGCAATGACTGCAGTTCTGCTTCAAAAATAACTAGAGACCTGGTCAGCCTGGCCTGCATATCTAGACCCTTTCTCATTCAAAATAATATATTAATATATAATATCATCTAAGATATAAAAACAACAATGAATCTATATACAAGAAAATTAATGGCAGATCACATATTATACAAGGAAAGAGTAATAAATTGGAAAATCTATCAATCTAAAATCTTTAAAGTGAAATACAGAGAAAAATATAAAAATAAACACACACACACACACACACACACTGGTAAGAAATAAAAAGAGATGTAGAATAACATCAAGTGTCAAAAATACACATGGTTGTGCTTCCTGGAGAAGACACGGAGTGTGACATAGATGAAATATTTAAAAATCTGGGCATGGCTGTGTGCCTGTAACCCAGCACTGGTAGAACCCAGGTGTTCTCTGAGTCGTTAGCCTGAAACAGTGAGCTTCGGGTTCAGTGACAGACCTTGTCCCAAAGAAGCAAGGCAGAGAGGAGAGAGGAGGACACCTGACATCCTCTTCTGGCTTCCGCATGTACACATATGGGCATGTGCATCTTCACACACAGGTATACACACACACACACACACACACACACACACACACACACACACACCAGATGGTAGCTTCACATAAGGGGCACACAGGCAGTACCTGGGTATGCACATCTGGGTGCCTGCACACCTGCAGGAAAAGCCCAAAGACAATGCAGAAGTCATGGCTTTGCTGCAAGATGAGAGCTTAGGGGAACCATCTGAACCCTCATTTTTTAATCCCATGGCTCCCTCAATTTCCGCATCTGCTATTGGTGGTGAATGTTTACAGGAGGCTCAGCACTGAAGGTCAGGCCGTTAGTTTCTCCAATTAGGCTCCCAAACTTTATACATTAATGAAGTTAATTTTGTTCATCTTAAACTCTCCCCAGTGCAACTCCTATAAACGAGGACATGTTGGTTCTCTTCTATTTCAGATCATGCAGGATCGGGTTGTGACGGTGTGCTAGGGAAATAGTTATCTTTAAACAAAATATCATGTTTTGTTGCTTAATTATGCAGACAGGAGCAGCTCAGGTATTCTACACACACCTCAGATGAAAGGGCAAAGACAGACTAATTTGGACTTACAGACTCTAGTCCATTTGACGTAATGGAATAAAATGTATAATGTACACATAGTGAAATAAAACACAGAAAACAAAAGCCAGTTTAGACTGTGCTGAGGAGTATTATGAAATGCCTGTAATTACCAGTGTGGCTGAGAACGAGAGGCACCTTACACAAAGGAAAATGCTGCTCTCTGCCCTCTACCCACTGGCGTTTGCTTAGTCACAGAGTCCAGAATTTCACATATGGTGCTTAATCTAGAATTCTGCCATGCCAGTGAGCTCAGGTCATTTGCTAGCATCAAGAATCTACATGACCATGAGAGGCTAATGAGACAATAAGAGCATAAGAGGTGATAATTAGTAGCAGGTAAGAAGCAGGCTCCTTACCAAATTTTCAGATTTGTTAAAGGAATATAATCCAGTTTTCTTTGAGCAATTTTTTCCTCCCCTTCCCCTTTCCCTTCCCTTTCTCCCTCCCTCCCTCCCTTTCTCCCTCCCCTATCCCGCCGTCCCTCAATAAAGACTCACAGACAAACTAGCCCTATCCTATTCCTTATAACAATACTATCCACACACAACTCAATACAATCTGTCCAGCATTTCTCAGGGATTTCACCCCTTTCTCCCTCCCTCCCTCCCTTTCTCCCTCCCTTTCTGGTGAGATGGTTCAGCAGGTAAAAGCACTGGCTATACAAGCCTTATGACCTGAATCCAATCCCCAGAATCCATAGGCAGAACCAACTCCCCAAAGTTCAATTCCCAGCACCCACATGACTGTCCATAACTCCAGTTCTAAGGGAATCAGATGTCCTCTTCTGACCTCCAGAGGTCATGACAACATGGGTGTGCTTACATACATGCAGGCGATACATTAGTGCACATAAAATAAAAATAAAATATTTTAAAAGTATTTATTATTGTGTATCTGTATGATGATACATGAGTACAGGCATGCCATGGCACATGTGTGAAGGTCAGAGGATGACTTTGGGGAGTTGGTTCTCCCTTCCACTATGGATTCTGGGGCTTGGATTCAGGTCATAAAGCTTGTGCAGCCAGTGCTTTTACCTGCTGAACCACCTCACCAGTCCATAAACTGATGCTTCGAAAGACCATGTTTCTGAACAAGACAGGGAAAACTAGGTTCACTGGCTCATCATCCTGAAGTGACACAGTATCCACTGTTTTGCTTTGGATGCTTAGGAGCAGTGCTCTGCTTGTTAGAGGCTTCTTCCCAGTGCTGATCCTAAGGACCCGGAAACCATTACAGATTTAGCAGGTAAGACTGGGGAGAACCAGCTCCATTGGTATTTCAAAAGTTTTGGAATCTGAGGAGTTATTTTAAACCTAACCTGGTGCCATTTACCAAACAGTGATACGTGAAAAAAGAATATTCATTTTTATCTTATTCAGAATGTTTAAAACATCACCTGTCTCCTTGTATGCAGATGTGTGTATACATACAATGCATAGATGGGCCTAAGACTCGGGATTATACTCATTCTGTGTAGTTAGCTCTTGCAGCAAAGATCCTGAATCCCTCATTGAGCTAAGCCTCTCCCAGTTGGTTAACAGCTCTGCTTCCTGCTTCCCCACAGGGTGACTAATTAATAAACTTTCCCTTAATTGACTTCTGGCTGCCAAGTCCACAGGGATTATAACATATATAAGTAAACAAAATTTCCATTTTAAACAATACTCCAAATCTTTTCATTGAGAGGTAGCCATATAAATTCACCAAAGTCAAGTAAGTCAAGGTTGGGAGGCTGGGTACTGAGGGGTCTGATCCCTTGCAATTGAAAAGCAGGGGTTCCAGCAGGTAGGAGGGATTTTCCCTTTCTAGTCTGGACCCCATCCCTCTCTTGTCTAGTTTACTAAGATATCAGGCAGCACAAAGAGGTTTTGAAGACACTGGTGGCATTTTCCTTTTCTTTTAGCCTGAATTTATTATTTAAAAGCAATTTTCATACGCAACTTAAAAAATAGGAAGAAGATAAGCTTGATGTTAAATATTTAATATGGAGAATGGAGAGACGGCTCAGTGGTTAAGAACACTAAATGTTCTTGCAGAGGACCAGAGTTCAATTTCCAGCAATTTCATGGCCGCTAACAACCACTTGTAACTCTAGGTCCAGGGGATCTAATGTCCTCCTCTGGCCTCATATGCTGCATGCATGTGGTACACTTGTATACATGCAGGCAAAACACTCATATACATAAAATAAAAATTAAAAAATCAAAACAAAAATTTAAAAATATTTGATAAGTACCCAGGATTTGGTAGGACCAAGTTGGGAGCAAGTCTGTGGTTTTAGGAAATGTTTTTTATTAATTTATTGTGGAGACAGAAATTCAGATTTTTTACATGTGAAGTACTTTAATGAGCTATTTATGTAATTTCATTGCTTATTCTGTTTTCAAATTCCAAATTAAAAGGAGAGCTAAGAAATAAAAATTCAAAGACCAAAAAAGAGTTGTCAGGTTGGTGTGCGTCGATTGAGGTATACATCGTTCACGGTCTCTCTCTTTAGTGCCATTGGGAGCCGTTTGGCTCAAGACTCAGATCTTTGCAGGGTCCTTTTGCTGAACCTGTAAGAACTCACTACAGGCTACGATGATTATCAGTATTGACAGCTGTTTAAACGAATAAAATAAACAGTGTTCCAACTCTCACATTCACTCCACTAAGACATTACCCAGAAAAGGCAGTGAGGGTAAGATTTACAACGAGCCCCCAGACTGTGGGGAGAAATGTACATGTAGTTCAGCTACAGATTTCCAAGGTCTGGGTCTTCTTAGTCTTAATTCCTGTTTCCGGCCTGAGAAATGTTATTCTAAAGGGAAGTACTTGACATAGTAAGAACTCTCTTTTGAGAATTAATCTCCCTTGAAAGCGTCCCTCTCCACATATCCTGCTGTTCCCCAGCTAAACCCTCACCAGGCTATTCAGAGAGATCTGTTCTGGGGTCAGCAGTATCTTTTCCCCAGGCTCCCAGAGCATCACAAATAACAGCCAGCATCTCTAGATTCCTTGCACAGCAATAACTGCTCCATCTGCTTTCCAGAGTTATACAGGTGGCCTTGACAAGTAGAACCCCAGCCCCAGGAGAGGCTATTTTCATTCATTTCCCAGGGTGGAGACAGGAGGCAGGCTTCGAGGGCCAGTCAAAGTGAAATGAGCATGCAGCTGATACATGTGCAAGAGGGCAAATCTCGGGGGGATTATACTGAATGAAAGGATGCAAGTATGAAAGGACCCATTTGGACTACAGAATTCAGTTCAAATACTATTCCATATAAAAATCAAACTTCAAAGACAAAACCAAATCAGTGCTTGCCAGGGGCTAGAGGTGGGGTGAGGCCTGACTACAAAGAGAAGAGAGAACTTTCTAGGGTGCTGACATCACTTTGTATTCTTATAGTGGTGGTTACACAGCTGTACAGATTTGCCAAAACTCATCTAAAGAGACAAAAGGAAGTAAATTCCACTGGATATAAATTATACCTCAAATCCCAAGTCTAAAACACAACAGCTACATCGGGTATGGTGGCACACAGCTGCAATCCCAGCACTCTGAGTGTGGAAGGAGGAGGATTGTGAGTTCAAGGGTACCTGCACTACATAATGAGACTTTGTCTCAGAAAACCAAAAGCAAAATAAAAGAGCAAAAACAAAATAACAATGAAAGCAAGCAAGCAAGCAAGCAAACCCCCAAACATCTAACAAGTAGAAACAATGGGAGAAGTCAGGCCAATGGAGACCATCAGACCCTGAAGAACTTTGTCCCCCCAGAACTTTGTTCAAGTCTCTGGGGCAACAAAGAATTTAGGGTGAGCTAGTTGAGCCTCCCTCTGCATAGCTGCCAGTTGGATGTCTTAATTCTAGGCTTCCTCTAGAAGAGGGCTGTCAATTCCCTTTTCATCAGTCGTCTGAATTTATAATTCCCAAGCCAAGGTTCCCCTCCTAACTCTGAAGCTTTTTGTTGCTTTTCTAGAATCTGGTGTCCTTGAGACCATCAAGGAAGCACTGGGGGATTTTTAAATTTTTTTTGCCATTTTCATACTATAGTTTGATGGCATTTAGTTCTGCTCTGCTCTTCCCTGACTGCCCCCTGCCCAATTTAATAAACTCTCTTATACATATATAATATAGCCTCTAGAGTATGATTTGTGTCCCTCAATGTCCTTCAGTGTGAATCTACTCCCTGAATCCACCAAGAGTCCCAATTCTGTAAGACACTGTCTCCTTCCCAGCAGTCATCAATTACCCAAAGTTCCTCAGGTTCGGTTGGGGTTTCTTACCTACTTCCCATGTCTATGCTGGGATTTTGTCTGGTTTGAGCTTGTATAGGACTAGTGCATACTGTCACCACTGCTATGAGTTCATATGAGTAAATGAGCAGCTATCTGTTAGACTCTGTTTCCTTGTGGTCACCCACCCCCTCTGGCTCTTACAGTCTTTCCACCTCCTTTTCTGCAATGATCCCTGAGCCTTGGGAAGCAGAAGTTTCCTTATGCAGTGGATGGCGATTAACACAGAGATCTACAATTAGCTGGTGTGCAGCGAACAAGCTTTCACAGGGTACTTATTCCTGAATAGGTTACTTAGGTTTAAAAAAACCCTACCAAGATACAGCTGAGAGTGACTGAGAGGCAGAAACTACTGCCTCCGCAGCCCAGAGTCCCATGCTATCTCTTGTTAGAAAGCCCAGTGAGTCAGCAGAGCACTTGGCCCATAGCTCAATATCCCTGCACTAAGATACTCAGTTAAGTGCTGGTGGGCCTCTCGAGTATACATTGCTGATAAAGACAGAGAACTGCTCTAACGTCATCCTAACTTTGACAAAACAGCCAAGAGAAAACTGTAGGGTCCTGGCAGTGTGGTTCTCTCACAGAGCATTTATAGTACCTGCATTTATACAGTACAACTTCATAGACTGCCACTACAGAGGGAGGCAGCTCAGTTCTGGTAATTCTTTCAAAATCCGATTTATAGAATATTCAAAAACACCACTATTTCTTCCTGGTCCACAGGGTAGACTCAACCTAATGATAAATGGCATATTGGCAGGTGCTCTGGTGGCTGAATATTGGTCTTTGTTTATAACCTCCTTAGGAGCTTGTGAACAAAAGGAAACTATTCAACAGCTGTTTTTCTTTTGTAAATTCATTCTTTCTCATGGCCAGAGCAAAGCCATTTGTAAATCATCACTGTAGCTAATCTTTTGCCCTTGGACAGCTCAAAAGTGAACTTGAGCCCAGACTCTGCAATTATCTTGAACCCCAGATCACTGAGCTCTAAGTGGGAGCAACCACACTCTGCTAAGAAAGGGTGCTATTACCCTGGGTGAGGGTTTGTTGGCCAGAGTTAGCAAGGGGGCAGGCTAGAGAGACTGACTTACTTCCGCCCTTCCCACTCTTCTCCATCCTGTACTGGTAGATGTGGAGGGTGAAGAGCATGTGGGAGTTGCGGTGATCGTCCTCATCACAGTCCTGTTGGTTGCTGCGTCGTGAGGCGATGGCGGCATCCAGGAAGAAGGCAGCTTTCTCTGCGGTGGGGGCCCGCAGCTCACTCTGGTTCTGCAACTGGAATATAGAATGTAAGAGCTGAGGACGCAGGCTGTGGAGAGGTGCCTGTGCCTCCTGCCTGGGGACAAAGGCTCAGTCCAAAGGTCTATGTTCATGGGCCAGCTCAGCTTGTTTTTGGTCCTTTTTCCATTTTCGTGTGTGTGCATGTGTGCATATGTATGTTTGCATGTGTGTAGGCACATGTGTGCATGTGGAGGCCCCAGTTTAACATCCTCGGTTGACCTCTCTTCCACAGTATTCGTTGTGGCAGCGCCTCTCACTGAATCCCAGAGTTCCAGATGTGCCTAATCTCTGACAACTTGCTCTGTGAATCCTTTGTCTCTACCTTCCAAGGTTAGAATTACAGGCAGGCTGCCACACCTAGCCAGTATTTACATGGGTTCAAGGAATCCGAACTCTAGTTATCACGCTTATCCAGCAATTACTTAACTGCTGAACCATCTCCCCAGCCCAGCTTAGTTAATTCAACAAATTAATATTGGCCATATTTATTAAAAGGAGCTTGTTATTAGCTATTTTATAGCTTAAGTTGAATCTGTAAATAGCAGGTGTGAAAATCAAGTGGCCATCAGTATCTGAGGTATCAGAGGGAGCAACAGGCTCATTTTTATCTGTGCAGAGGGCAGCAAACTGACACCCATGGTCATCCATCTGCCTAAAAAACAGGAGAGATGTGACTAGATCTTGATCTTGGAGATTGGAGCAGGTTGGCTGTGAAATGTGACTTTATATCTGACATCATTGGTGTCCAAAAGAAGGAAAAACTTGTCTATTATTCACTCTGAATGTCTCAGTTATTCAATGAAAGCTAATTTGGGGCCATATTTACTAGCATAGCTATGAATAAGAAGTACATGTATGATGGTTAACTTAACAGAATCTAGAATCATCTGGGAGGCCAGCCTCTGAGCATACCTGTGGGGAATTATCTTGATTGCATTAATTAAGGTGGGAACACTGCCCACTGTGGTAGCCCATTTTCTGGCTGGGATCCTAGACTGTAAGCGGGAAAAGGGAACTGGGCACAACGTGTATTCATTGGCTCTTGCTTCCCGATTGTGGATACGATGTGGCCAGCTGCTTCGGGCTTCTGCTGCCTTGAGGATGGACTGTTGCCTGGAACTGGGAGCCATAACAAATTCTTTCTCCCTTAAGTTGCTTTTGTTGGGGTATTTTATCACAGCAACAGGAAAATGTGTAAAAACCATGTGGAAACACCCAAGCTTCAGGAAGGTGTCGTTTATATTAAGAGACATCTGTTTTTATTTTAGTTTCTGAATTCATGCCCATGGCAAACTCAGTAAGTGATTACAGAAAGCACAGCAGGCACTGTGTCTCAATCCTATCAGAACCCCTGGTCTGAAGACCAACACTCCCTTCTGTGGTAGAAAAGGAAACTCCTAGTTTTGTTTTTTTGAGACAAGGTCTTGCTATATAGACCAGGCTGGCCTCAAACTCATCATCTTCTGGCCTCAGCCATCCGAGGGATGGTTTGACAGGTATATATGGCACAAAACTTATCTCTGATTTTTCAATGAACTGATTTGCAGTGTGTCTTTGGGTTAGTACAAATTAAGACAATTGTCTGCTTTGACTCTAACCATACCTATAATTTCAAACTGTGAGAACCAATATTTGGTGCAGGTAGGATTTGCAAGCTAAGACTATTAAAATCCTTGAACTTCAAAGGGATTTTATTGTGCTTGTGGTATTGAACTTACTAGAAAAAGTAAACCAAAGAATAAAACAAACCCATTTTCTACAAGGATAGTTAAAATAAAGAGGATGTTGCTTTATCTTCTTCATTTTCAGTTAAACAGATCTTCACTTAAGTGGATCACTGTTAATAAGTGAATCCAAGTTAACACCTATTTGAAAGTCTGGGTAAAGCTTTCAGCAGGAGCAGTGGGCTGGGCACTCCTGCTTCCATCATAGAAGCTGTGCAGTCAAACTGTGCTCTCTGGATTATATGGAAACTTGTTAGAGATGCAAATTGAGGGGTGCTCAGCCCCAGATGGAATCAGAAACTCTTGGGGAGGAGCCCAGCGATCAGTTTCAATAAATCCTTCAGGCAACTCTGGTGTAGACTAAACAGGATTCCAGAGGAAGTGCAAGGCTCTGGGCAGAGGCTGAGCAGGGCCAGGCTTGGGGAGATGGGTGTAATACAGGCCCTGGGGCAACCTCACCCACACAAATGATGGAGTTGGGGTGAGGCAGGTACTTATCAAACAGACATCTGTCTAAAACAAGAAGCATCTGGGAGGCCTCCTGCAGGAGACTGGCAGAGTTGACAGTTCTCGATATAAACCACGGGAGCCCCTCGAGTCATCCCTACATCTATTGTCAAACGGCAAGAGGAAGACCCTCATAACAGGCCCGACTTCCTGAAAAGGCAAACCAGAGCTTTTCTTGGCTTCCATAGTTTTAGCAATTATATCGTGGTTCTAATTAGAATGTGGTTATTAGTTTTTCCCACAGCACTGCTAATCCGCCTGTAAACCAGTGCCAGAAACACAGTTTATAGAGCCATAAACAGCCCCAGTAATGGCTGCAGCTATTTGTGCAGAGCAGTAAATATTTCAGTTTGTTGTTAAACAAAAGAAAGACTGTACTTTTTTTCTTTTTCAAAAGAGGAGTAAAGAAAGTAGCCTCAATTTCCCCCTCAAATGCTATGACAATTGTTGTCCCTGCACATTGTCAATTAGATTCAAGGTACAAATATTTAGGTTGGCTGAGCAGATGGCCCCACAGCTGCAGGCCATAAAGTTCCAGTCCACTTTAAAGTAAACACTCATAAGCCTCCTGGTTTACATGGTAAGTGATTCTGGGGCTGAGCTGCCCCGGCCTCCAAGGTAGAGATGAACCACCCCAGGGTGAGCCAAGCTAAAAGCACTCACCTGTGTGCCACAGATGGGGTCCTCACAGAGATAAACGCCGGGGGACTGGCCATCCTGTAGGCTGCCTGTGGCTACCTCAGACAGCAGGTCCCGAAGGTTCTCCTCTTTCCCCCATACCTCCACCGCTGAAATCCGGACTGAGAATCGGGCCCCGGTCTTTTCTTTGCGCTCATTGATAAGCTTGAATAGCCAAGAAATGGCGCAGGGAATGATGCCCAGGTTCTGCATGGAGTCGTCCCTTCCAATCATGGTATAGGATTTCCCTGTGAGAGCAGAAGAAAGGAAAGCAGTTGGAACGGCCAAACATCCTCAAAAAAATAAAAAGATGCCGAGGACACAGAAGAAAGGCATAGGGGAGTGGGCAAAAGGCAAGAAAAACAGCAAGCATTTCCTCACACTGGTGATGAAACAGCTGTAAAAGAATGGGAGGGCCCAAAGAAGCCACAAGCAGAGGATCCCCAGCATCACAGGCTATCCGGTTTCTGCATTGTTCTACAGAAAGTGGGAAGCAGTGCTTTTCATCACGATTACGGTCCTTTTTATAGCCACCCCACAGATTCAATCCACACACTCAAGCTTTATGTCCTTTCTCAAGTTAAATGCTGTGTATGTTTTTATAGTGTGAGCAAATTTCATTAAAACCAGGACCGCTGCTTTGATCTCAGATCATGAAATGAAGGAAGGGGCAGGGGAGATGCAGGCTCTGTGCCCTCTACAGTGCATTTGGGGTGATCTCTTCTACCAAAGGGACACTTTTTTGGAGCTTCCCAAATTTCTAACTCATCCAGCAGGTCCGGCAAGGCCTGGAGGCAAATAGATAGCTGTAGGTCAGGATTGAGAAGGGACAGTAGAGGGGAATTAATCCAACTCTTGGGGCTGGCTGGTGGTCTCCTTTCCCGCATACTACAGTGTGGGAGGACTCCTGACAGGGATGGATGCTGGAGCAAGGACAGGATTAGTCTGCTCCTCTCAGACAATCCTACAGGTGCTGGGCTCCACTTAGAGATTCTATTGGCTCTGCCCACCTGAATCCTCTTGGGGATGGTACAGGAGTTCCTGTTGATCATAACCTAGACCAAGTGGGAAGAACCCTGCTCCCCTCTTGTTTGTCTCTTGGACTTGAAGCTGTCCTATGTGAGTGGATATCCACTTAGGACAAGTTCCTGTTTCAAAGGCAGACATAGAAATCCATTACTGTTCAGTTTAGTACCTAAGGGGAATGTGACCTTTCCTCTCATCTGGAGACTCTGGCACCAATACTGAAACATCACTGGGATGACAGGAAACCAAATGAGCCACACAAGAAGTCAAGTTCTCACTTACCCAGCTTGGCATGGCCAAAACAGAACACGCAGCCATCTGCCCCATTCACCACAGACTGTATTACCTCAGCCACAGTTCCAGCACACACTTCAGCCTGGAAGAGTCAAGAGGAGACATGGGTAAATGCACCATAGAGCACCATGAAGCATCTGGATGACACAGAAGTGAGTCCTTCCTGGGGCTAAGGATTCCAGCATCACCACATTCCCAGTTGGTCCAGCCTCTGCCACAGAGTTCTGGGGGAACTCAGAGTCCTCAGGGACCTTCCACCTCTTGCAAACCAGCCCCAGTAATGGCTGCAGCTATTTGTGCAGAGCAGTAAATATTTCAGTTTGTTGTTAAACAAAAGAAAGACTGTACTTTTTTTCTTTTTCAAAAGAGGAGTAAAGAAAGTAGCCTCAATTTCCCCCTCAAATGCTATGACAATTGTTGTCCCTGCACATTGTCAATTAGATTCAAGGTACAAATATTTAGGTTGGCTGAGCAGACGGCCCCACAGCTGCAGGCCATAAAGTTCCAGTCCACTTTAAAGTAAACACTCATAAGCCTCCTGGTTTACATGGTAAGTGATTCTGGGGCTGAGCTGCCCCGGCCTCCAAGGTAGAGATGAACCACCCCAGGGTGAGCCAAGCTAAAAGCACTCACCTGTGTGCCACAGATGGGGTCCTCACAGAGATAAACGCCGGGGGACTGGCCATCCTGTAGGCTGCCTGTGGCTACCTCAGACAGCAGGTCCCGAAGGTTCTCCTCTTTCCCCCATACCTCCACCGCTGAAATCCGGACTGAGAATCGGGCCCCGGTCTTTTCTTTGCGCTCATTGATAAGCTTGAATAGCCAAGAAATGGCGCAGGGAATGATGCCCAGGCTCTGCATAGAGTCGTCCCTTCCAATCATGGTATAGGATTTCCCTGTGAGAGCAGAAGAAAGGAAAGCAGTTGGAACGGCCAAACATCCTCAAAAAAATAAAAAGATGCCGAGGACACAGAAGAAAGGCATAGGGGAGTGGGCAAAAGGCAAGAAAAACAGCAAGCATTTCCTCACACTGGTGATGAAACAGCTGTAAAAGAATGGGAGGGCCCAAAGAAGCCACAAGATGAAATCACGGTGTGCCTTGCAGAGGATCCCCAGCATCACAGGCTATCCGGTTTCTGCATTGTTCTACAGAAAGTGGGAAGCAGTGCTTTTCATCACGATTACGGTCCTTTTTATAGCCACCCCACAGATTCAATCCACACACTCAAGCTTTATGTCCTTTCTCAAGTTAAATGCTGTGTATGTTTTTATAGTGTGAGCAAATTTCATTAAAACCAGGACCGCTGCTTTGATCTCAGATCATGAAATGAAGGAAGGGGCAGGGGAGATGCAGGCTCTGTGCCCTCTACAGTGCATTTGGGGTGATCTCTTCTACCAAAGGGACACTTTTTTGGAGCTTCCCAAATTTCTAACTCATCCAGCAGGTCCGGCAAGGCCTGGAGGCAAATAGATAGCTGTAGGTCAGGATTGAGAAGGGACAGTAGAGGGGAATTAATCCAACTCTTGGGGCTGGCTGGTGGTCTCCTTTCCCGCATACTACAGTGTGGGAGGACTCCTGACAGGGATGGATGCTGGAGCAAGGACAGGATTAGTCTGCTCCTCTCAGACAATCCTACAGGTGCTGGGCTCCACTTAGAGATTCTATTGGCTCTGCCCACCTGAATCCTCTTGGGGATGGTACAGGAGTTCCTGTTGATCATAACCTAGACCAAGTGGGAAGAACCCTGCTCCCCTCTTGTTTGTCTCTTGGACTTGAAGCTGTCCTATGTGAGTGGATATCCACTTAGGACAAGTTCCTGTTTCAAAGGCAGACATAGAAATCCATTACTGTTCAGTTTAGTACCTAAGGGGAATGTGACCTTTCCTCTCATCTGGAGACTCTGGCACCAATACTGAAACATCACTGGGATGACAGGAAACCAAATGAGCCACACAAGAAGTCAAGTTCTCACTTACCCAGCTTGGCATGGCCAAAACAGAACACGCAGCCATCTGCCCCATTCACCACAGACTGTATTACCTCAGCCACAGTTCCAGCACACACTTCAGCCTGGAAGAGTCAAGAGGAGACATGGGTAAATGCACCATAGAGCACCATGAAGCATCTGGATGACACAGAAGTGAGTCCTTCCTGGGGCTAAGGATTCCAGCATCACCACATTCCCAGTTGGTCCAGCCTCTGCCACAGAGTTCTGGGGGAACTCAGAGTCCTCAGGGACCTTCCACCTCTTGCAAACCTCAGAGTGACACAATTGACTGCCAGCCTCCTTTCTGCTATTGGATAGCGCTCATCAGTCCTATCTACGGAAAAGGTAGGAACAGGCTGTAGTGGGAGCATGGGATGGATTCCTGGACTGTGTTCCCCTCTGCCACCCGCCATTCCCCTTTCTAATCTCCTGGGCAAGGCTTCTCAACTCTCCCCTCTGCCCATTAGAACCTTCCTTATACACACACACACACACACACACACACACACACACACACACACATGGAGTTGATGGCACAGACCAGTTTTATTTGAGGGGAAGAGATGATGTGCCATTTCAGGACAGAGGCCTCAAGAAACATCCTAGTTCTAACAGAATTAGGAAGCTCTAGGCAGCTGTCCATTTTCTTGATCTCTGCTTTCTTCATCTGTGTCCCCTCTTTTAAAAATCTGCCATTTCTCGTTCTCTACACATACACTCAAGTGTCATTTGTCAGTGTGATCTGAGGTTTTCTTTATCTACCTGTGCCTCATTTCCAGTGAGATCATTAATCTTTATAGGCAGGAACTTGGTTCTTGATCATTTTTTTAATTTCCTTATTAACGCTCAATGCTAGTGCTCTCTGTGGACAACGGGGGCTCAGTAAATTCTGTGGACCACCTTGGAAAGATGAAAAACCTCTGGTTAGCATCTGAGACGTTCACAGCAGCAGGAGAACAAAATGATTCTCCATGTCTCACTGCTGCCTTCACTTCTGTCTCAGGCTGGCGTTGAAGCTGGCGGAGACATAGAGCCATTGAATGCTGGGGCTCTGCAGTTATTAGAGCAATGTGCCTCCCAGTGGGAATCTGAAAAGCAGCAGCCTCAGCCATGAATGTGGCTATTGTGCGGTTCAGTCTCACAATAAACCTAAGTATTTGGAAATCAATTTTGTCTCCAAAACTGAAATTGAAAAACCATATCCCCAACAATTATCATTGGTAGGGGTGGTCGCCTCAGCAGCTCTATGAGGCTCTTCTTGGGCTAAGGGAATCGAGGGACAGGGCTGTATGAGGTCCACAGGATCTTATACACACACCCCCACCCCATGATGGAGGCAACAAGAGCCTCCTGCACTAAAACCTGAGACTGAGGGAGTAGAATTTCTGGAACTTGTCAGTTGCCTCTGCAGAACAGGGAGAAATTACTGCCTTCTTTGGGTATGGAGGGAGGTGGGGGTTGGGAGACTACAAGTCACTTGGGCATACATAATAAAAACTGTGAATCTCAAGTCACTGAGGGGAATTCTGGTTATGTGTGGACCAAACTGCCATCAGAGTCACCCATACAGAGGCCAAGGGACAATGGAGACACAACGAGTGGACTCATAGAGCTCAGGGTGGTGCAGGCATCTCTGGTAGAGCTCTGGCCTGGCTGTCCACAGGGAAGACAGTGATCAGGGATTTGCCTATGTTGGTTTGTTAAGAGCTGATAGTAGCCCCTGGAAATTCCTTGCTGTTCTTTCCTGTGGGCCCAGAGAAGCAGGAAGCCTTCCTGAGTACATAATACAGCCATGGTAGGGTTAGATCTGCCCATGGCCCTACTCAAGCACAGCTCTGAATCCTCCCCACCTACCCCCAAGCCAGACCCAGCAGAAGTGTATACCAACAGTAGGCAGTCAGTGTCTGCAAAGGCTGCTTAAGGGTAACAGGATGGCTCATCAGGGCAAGGAGCAACAGGACTGTTCCTGTCATTGCTCAGTGCCAGGGAGCTGGTATCGTTAGAAATGAAAAGAAAGCAGAGTTCATATCTGCTTGGAGTCACCATGGTGACAGCTGCTGCAAAGGCAAGAATCTGAGAGTGGCCCTTGAATCTGGTCTAGTAAAGGCAGCCTCAGTATCTGGGCCCTGGACACTGCCATGTGTACAAACCCAGGTTGGCCTGCTGGACAATGGGCAACAATGTGAAGAGAGATCAGTTGGCCCAGTCAAAGCCACTCTGCACACTCTCCATTTTTGCCTTGAGGCTCAAGGGGTGCTTACCCTGTAGGGCTGAGCTGGCCATGACCAGCAGTGTGAGATTAACAATGGTGGCATTGTCGTAAAGATAGACAACACCTGTTGGGTACCTGCTGTGTTCCTGACTCTGTCCTAAGCACCTTAAGCATGTCAATTCAATGAATTGTAACAGACTAATGAAATGTATTTGACATATGAGGATGTTGAGGCACAGAGAGGTGGGTGACTTGTCCAGTGCTAGAAATAGTAGATAAAATACTGGGAGATCAAAGACAAACCATACTGAGCAGGATTCAGAAGGTTAATAGGAAGGAGGTGGGATCCAGGAAGGATGCTAAAGAGAGGGACTAGGAGCAAGAGAATTCATTTTGGAACCTCAATATCCTGTCTGTAATGTCAAAAGAGAAAGATGGTCTTTCCTACCCAGAAGAATTCTAGGAAGATTCAATGGGTAAATATATATGAAACTTCTTGAAAACTGCAAACTTATATCGAAATGTAACTTATAATATTAGACACCTGATCAAATTGGAATCTTCCAAAATAAGTGAAAGTGCAGCTCTGAGCATCCTGAGCTTGGGAACCAAGTGAGAAATGTAAACAAAGGCTAGCAATAAAAGTGGTTTGTTTTTCTGGAATAAATCTAAAACTCATTAATAGTCCATCCTTAATTTAGGGTGCACTTTGGAATTCTTTCAACTTCCCAAGATTAGCTTCTGAAGAGTGTACCCCTGTTAATTAAATTATTTGTAAGCCATTTGTTAGACCCAATGTCAGGTTTAAATTACTGAACCCATTGGGTGGTACGAAACAAAAATTCAAATGAACAGAGAAGCCGCAGAACTTAATCACAAAGTACCTTATCTTCCTGTGGTAAAACTCATTGAAGAAACTAATGTTCAGCATCCTAATGAATGGCATCTATAGCATGCACCAGTGCCCATGGTGGAGTGCAGGCGCTGTGGGACCATCACTGCTTCCTATACTCAGATATGACATAGAGGAACCACTGCTGCTGTGGCCCATAGGCTTACCTATAAGTTTGATTACCATACTCTGCAGAGTTTTACATAAATCTTGGGAAACACTTGAAATTTATTCAAAAAAGGTACAGGTGCCTGATGCCACAAAGCAGGCAAAACAGATTACTATATACCTACAACATGGCTTCTTTATTTATTAATATATGCATTTAGTTTTAGTGCTGAGGATTAAACCCAAGGCCTTGGGCATGTTAAGTACGAGCTATGCAATTGAGTTACACTCTTGCCCTGGGTTATTTATGAAGTTTTACAACTAGTAGTCCTATACTCATGTCACCTGTCTGGTCTCCAGCCTCTCAAAGGAGTAGGTGCTGTTTGGTACTACTTGGAAGCTCACAGTCACTAAGGCCCCAGGATTTAATCCTAGCAAGGCGATGTCTACTAGAAGCTCCCGCTGTCCTGTTTGATAGTATCTACTTGGCTGTCAGCAGTCTACAAATCTTAACACCATGTAACCCTAAATTACATTGTTAGTAGACCAGCAAATTAAAAAAATGGTTCACTTCTCCATCATGTGTGTGCATGCCCCTTGTCATGTGACTTCAAGAGCCATCTCTTCCCTGCTCCTTGAATCTGGGCCAACAGAATGCAGAGAAGTGGTGTTGCATCGTCCTGGGCCCAGGTCTCAAGAGGCTGCATACTTGGGTCCTAGAAGTGCTGTAAGAACAAGCCTAGGCTAGCCTGCTAAACAATGGAAGACAAAGTGGTAGAGAGACCAGCTGACCCTGACAAGGCCATTCCAGACCAGCCTAAATCCAGCCACCCACAAACTTGGGATAGCATCCAGCCAGGATCCTCAGACTGCCTACACTACTCATCGTCTATCACAGACATGTAAATGAGCCATGCCAGCCATAGTGCTGCCCCTCAGTTGACCCATCAACAACTGCACATGCTCACTGGATTAAGCATGGAATTTAAGGGCTGTTTGTCATGCAGCAACAGCTAACTGATATCATAGCTGTTGCCAATCCTCTTTGATTCCATACCGTTCCACTAATCCTAGCTCCAGGATACATATCAACCTCAGTTTCCATAAGGAGTACACCCCATTTCTCACGAGGACTATAGACCTGCCCCCCACCCAGTGAGTTTGGGACATTGCTTGATTTTAATCCACCTCCCTGAAACAATGTTATTTCCCTTGTTACATGGCCACTGGAAGCTCAGAGAGGAATGGATTTCCCTTTGACTAGCCACCAGCTCTTCCCTGTAGTTGTTTCCATAACTTTCAAGTTTTCCTGTCAGCTTATCAACAACTGGCTTGTTCTTCCTTCTCCCCTGGGTGTATTTTAATTGTGTTTGGGTGGTGAGCATATGTGTGTATACATGTTCATGTATGTGTAGGGGTGCACATACATGTGTGAGAACATGCATGTGGGGGCTAGACAGAGGTCAATGTTGGGTGTCCTCTTCTGTCCATCTTTGCCTTTATATTTTTAGGTGGAGCTCACCAATTTGGCAAGACTAGCTGCCAGTGAGCTTCAGGGAGCCAATCTCTGCCTCCCCAGCACCAAGATTACAGAGGTATACCACCTGGCTTTTCATGTGAGTGTCAGAGATTCGAATTCAGGTCTTTGTGCTTTTGTAGCAAGCACTTTCCTAACTAAGTCATCCCCCCAGCCTCCCAAAGGTGTATTTTGGTGAAATTATCACATAATGATCCTGCCCAAGGAAACTGTCACAACAGTGACACTGAAAACTGGGGTGTTCAGTGGAGCTCAGAATGACTTCTAAACTTAGCAGTATGGATAGAGGAGCTCGTCCATTAGCGTGACCCAGAAGATACCCTCCCAGCTCATACTCCTCTAATCAATACTGCCTGAGCCTGGAGGGGGCCAATATATACCTGAGAAGCATCTTGTGGAAAAACTGCATCAAAGGCAAACATCTTAGGAGGAACCTGGTTGCTTCTCTTTTGGAAGGCATTTTGACCTCCGCAAGTCAGGGGATCATACAAGGTGATCTGCTTCTTCCGTGGATCCACCTTCAAGAATGAGCTGGATTCTGAGGTATCCCGAGCCAATGTGGAACAGATTCTAAGCATGACTTTCACCTGTTAAAAAACAAAGATGAGAAACAACATGGATGGAGAGGGCTGGCTACTTTATGATGAAGTGGCCTTCTACACTTGGATGGTATAAATATTCCCAGCTATAGTGAACATTCTCATGATCTGTTATAATGAAATACACAATGAATTAAGAAGCTAATCCTCAGTGGGTCATGGGAAAGATGGTGCATTTATAATTACCAGGTAGAATAGTTTGATATGTCCCTTACTTCAATGCAGAGAAGGTACACTGTATTCTTTGTCTTCCTATTAATATAAATTAAAAATTAACTGTGCCCTGGTGGTCCAATTATATAGATGAAAAGCTAATCTGGACTGTCAGGCTATAGGGGCTGGTGTAGTCTCCTTGAAGCTCACAGATCAATAAACCATGCACATAAAAGTTAGTATCATAATTTACTCCCCAGCTTGGCTCATCAGGGCTCTGGGAGACAAAAATCCACAGTTATTAGTGTCATCATTAAAGCCCTGTGAAATGGCCTGCTTTTAATGGCCAGCGTTTGAAATGCATTCCAAGGGGCAAGTGTGATAAAAGATTGCTTTGCAACATGTTATTTGGGATCCCATTAAGTGAACACAGAGAAGTTGTCATTTCAGGGAATGAAAGTATGTCTCCATAGGAATCAGAAGGCAGTACCCTCTAACCCACCTTCTGAGTCATGGGACATGAACATCTTTCATGCTCACGACCAGCCCAGCTCTGCCCTGCAGCCAAGCATGACACTCACAGAAATGGACAGCCTCCTTTGGAGTCCTAAGGTAGGCAGAAGTCAAGCTGAAGGCACTCACAGATCTAGGGGCTATAGTCCTGGGAGATGGACCGCTTATCTCTCAGCTGTTTGTTACTATGTGTTGATTCAGTCCAACACATGACAGGCACTTTCCTTGAGTACCTACTATGTGCCACATACTGTGCTAGACATGAAAGATGCATACAGCAGACAGCTGCAAAGACAGTTTCTATAATGTAATGTGGCAAATGGTGAATGTGTGCCCAAGGATGAGTTTGAAATTCTTGTCCTCTTTTCTTAACCAGGTGTCAGTATGATGAAACCTCCACCACGCTTGGGGGGTAGGCGCCATTGTAAATTGTGGTGTGTGTGTGTGTGTGTGTGTGTGTGTGTTATGCATAGATTACCCCATGTGTGAGTACACATGTGTGGTTGCACATGTGTGCGTGTACATATGGAAGACGGCGGTTGATGTTGGGTGTTTTTCTTGACCATTTTCCACCTTATACATTTGCAGGGTCTGTCACTTGAGTCCACAGTTCACCAATTAGGTGAATCTAGCTACATACTGCTGGGATCCCCTATCTTCATTTCCCATATGCTGGGCTTGCAGGCAGGCAACATGCCCACCCTGCATTTACGAGGGTGCTGGGGACTGAACTATAATCCTCAGGCTTGCACAGTAAGTAATAACCCTCCCAGACATATCTCCCTAGCCCCTGGTTGTAATTTTTTAAAACAAAATGTTTCAAACAGAGAATAATACACATTGTGCACTACAGAGTGAGGCCATCCTTTTGTCCATCTGTTTGCTGAGGCCTTGGGACTAATTTGCAATGTGCAAAGCTGAAATGCGAAGACTTCCAAGGGTAGCAGACTATCACAGCCCTGGCTGTGCTACCTGGTGTGCAGAAGGACCCCCAAGGCTGGGATGTGGCTTGCCTCCCAGGGGTCAAAGCTTGGTTCTCTCATGTGAGACCATAGAACATTTCCTGCCAGTTGGAGGAGGAACAGTGCTGTATCAGGTCTGTGCCATCACCTCCACGATCTCATTTAGTCTTCTCGTGAGCCAGAGAATGGACATACTCGTCAAGATTTTGCAGAGGAGAAAACAGATGTCACATACTGTTATGATTTCATTCTGTTGCTGTGATAAAGCACTCTGATCAAAAGCAACTTAGAAGATGACAATATTTATTTGGCTTACACTCTAGGTCACAGTCCATCACTGAGGGAACTCAAGGCAGGGACCTGAAGCAAAACCATGGAGAAACACTGCTTGCTGGCTTGCTTATTGGTGCATGCTTATACAACCCAGGACGACCTGCATACTGATGGTACTACCCACAGCGGGCTGGCCCTCCTACATTAATTAATAATCAAGACAATCCCCCGACATACCCACAGACCAACTTGAGAAAAACAATTACTCAACTGAGACTCTTTTCATGTGATTCTAGGCTGTGTCAAGTTGACAGTGGATTTTAACTAGGGACACACATGTCGGCCCAGGTTGCTGAACTTGTGGATGGTAAGGCTGGGCCTGATTCAACTCTAGAGCCCATGCTTTCTCCTTCACGCCAACTGTTGCCTCTCACTGTCAAGCTTCTTAGAGCTTCACTTTCCCCATCTGCATGATAGCAATGCCTGCCTAATATGACTATTGTGAGAATTTGATTGATTGGTGTGTGAGGTGCTTATTTCCCCCTACTTTGATCCCCTTTACCTGTCTTCCTCTGGACCATGATAGCCTATCATTTTCCAATGATGATGCTAATGATAAAACTATAGAGTGCCTTATCCTGGACTCTGGGCACAATCACCCATAAGGAAGACCCCAGGGTAGGTCACTATAGAGAGGGCTAGTTATTAAGCATCATATCTGACTAGGATCCTATCAGCATAGCACTGTTGAGTCCCACAGCCACTGCCTACTGGACAATAACCATATTTATCTACATTCTGTTGGGGACATTTTCTTCTTCCTGTGACCCCTCTTATAGCCTGATTTCAACTGCCTGATTTATATGTCTGTTCCTGTTACACAGCAAGTATGCTACAAGCAGGTATTCACACAGCAACGTCTGGTAGGTGGCTGAGCCTCCAGGCTTTCTGTGAATGCCTCTCCCCTCTCTGCTCAGCCACAGACCGCACACGTCAAGGATGCTGCGACACCAGGCAGAACTGATGGAGCCACACGGCCCACTGCTTTTCTAGTTCGCAATTTTGCATGCCGTTTCTAGGTAAGTAGAAGTGCTGAATGTAAAATATGAGTTAGGCCAGGCAGGAAACCAGGAAGGACAGGGCTGAGTCAGTCAGTCATTTGAACGGGAGGCACGTGCCTGCATCTTAATGAAGTACCAAGCTTGTGGTCCTTTTCTGCAGGCAAGCTGAAGATCCAGCCTGGGGTCTAGCTGAGGAGACACACGGTTCTTTAAAAACCCATTGAACTCGGAGCTGGAGGGAAATGCCACACTTCATTCTTTTCTCTGAAATTCATTTAAATAAGCGGAGGGGTCCCTTCTTCACAGGAAGGGAATTGGGTTTTTCTGCTTCGCGTCTTTTTTGTCATTATTCCTTTAGTCCCGCACTCCACTTCCTGCCTAATCCTCTGTAATTAAAGAGCTTAAGAGACACCACTTATGATCAAGAAATTCCCTTGGACTTCTTGCCAGGAGCCCTTGCTTTTGTTACAAACAGTTAGGTTCTTGGCAACATCGTCTTCAACCCCACACTCCCTGTCGCTCCTCCTAGAGGGTCTGAGCTGCCTCAGGCACAGTTTCGCTCAACTCTGAGGTCAAGGCCCCCACCACTTCCAAGAGCAGACCTGGGGTGACCAACTACATCAAGGCAGCTCAAGCAGTGTGAGTGGAGGCAAGCATGGGGAGACAGACACCCAGAGAAGGGAGACTGGTACTGTGCACCAAAGTCCCCACTGGTTGGAGCCCACTTCACTTTATTTGTCTAATTACTCTGTGGCTGGCTGGAGACAGTTGTTGCTTGGAGCAGCAGTTGTTTTCATGCCCTGCTCATTAATCATTTCGGCACTTCTTGTGGATGGCATTCTGAGACATGAGAGAAAAGGATTGTGAGACACTTGTTAAGAGGGGCCGAGCACCCCTCTCTCAGTTGCACACACCCTCTATCAACACAGAGGTGATCTCCGGCTGCCACCCGCCTTATTGAAGGCTAATGAGGAGTGGGCCCTGCAATCACTCACCGCCACTGCTACACACATGGTCATGGTCTGCAGATGTTCTCGTCCTGTTCTTACTCATCCAGTTCAGCCACAAGGCACAGACCTATAAGGTTCTTTCCAGAAGCTGTTGAGTTGGAGGCTTGGGTTCAGCTCTAATACTCATGAGGGCTTTGGGCAGTCTGACCATTCAAAGGATCCCTCACCAATCAGAAAACACTACACAAGATGATAAAGAAATGGGAAAGAGAACTCCATGTTCACCTTCATGCATGAACTTGTTTTAAGTTCCTTGTGTGGATACCCACAGTGAAAGCTCTCCACAGACACGTCAGACAACAGAACGCTCTGTGACGTGGCTATGATCAATGCTGAGTAAGATGATAAATAGTTTTCTTGCTCAAAGTCACAGGGTATGGAGGCAGATTAGTCACTACATCTTTCAGGTCCTTTAGAGCTCAGTATTTTAACTCTTTACACTGATTTTTAAGAATCAGCTCAGTAGAAACTGGTCAAGATGCAGATGGAAACCCAAACCAGAAATGTCATTTGGTACCATTTCTGTCTCAATCCCAACAGGATTAGAGTTTTTCTTAAGAATTATAGAAGTTCCTGAAACATGTCTAAATACTGTTCAAGAAGGTAAATCACAGCAAGTTGAACAGATTGCTATTAGCCAGGTGTGGTGACTCCTGCAGCTAATTCCAGCACTCAGAGCAGAAGCAAGAGAATCGCTGATATTGGAGGCAAGCCTGAAAGCCTGGTCTACATAGCAAGTACCAGGCCATCCAGGGCTACATAGTGAGGCCCTGTCTTAAAAGAAGGGGATAGGTTGGTCAAAAACTACCCATAGGAGGAAAGTAAGATTGCTAGGTAGGGTCCTCAGTGGTAGAGTATATATACCTGTCATGAATGAGATCTCTCTCTCTCTCTCTAGCTCTCTCTCTCTCTCTCTCTCTCTCTCTCTCTCACACACACACACACACACACACACACACACACACCAAAGAGATCATCAGCTAAGACATCACAACCAAATGGCAGAGGTACCTCCA